CTTGAATTTTTATCATCGCGTGACTTAAGTCCGTTTGTGATATTTTTCGCAATCTTGTCCCTTTTAGGCCTGCGTTAGTGTTGTTATTTTTCTGGGTTGATTGATGTTTACGAGTTTTTCGCGGAGCCTGGATGGTCTGTTTTTCAATTTTTATAGGGGGACCCCTGCTCGCGTCTCGCAGGCGCCAATCATAGTTGCGACGGAGCCGATTCTCTCGAAAAAAAAGAATCTGCGTCTGCAGGACGTAACACTTTGTTACATCTGATTTGGTCAAGAAATTGGGCATAAATACGAAAAGAAGAGCAGGGAAGATAATAGGGTTTCGCGGAAACACAACCTTAACAAGCGAGATAGTAACGGCGACTATAAGGTCAAGGGTAAACAAATACGCAGAATCATTGAGTTTTACGGTAATAGATCAGATCACCAGTAAGTTACCTGAGCGAGGAATTGAATTGTCCCAATTACAAATTCCAGAAACCATTCCTTTCTCTCAATTAGCCGATTCAACGTTCAACGAACCAAAAAGGGTGGACATGTTGCTGGGATCATCAGTCTTCTGGAGCGTTCTGCAGAAAGGAAGGATTCAACTCAACGATGAGCAACCAGTGTTCCAGAACACAAAACTAGGATGGCTGCTGGGCGGAAACTTTACACCTATCGAAACATCGACCACTAACATCTGCTGCGTAGTATCTAACGAAAATCTAAACGAGCAAGTAGAGAAGTTTTGGGCTATCGACCGATGTGAGCTTGAAAGAGAACTAACTCCTGAAGAAAAGGCATGTGAGAGACATTTCGAAGCAACCACTTACAGAGACGAGAGTAGAAGATTTGTAGTATCGCATGCCATTGAAAGGGGAAACTCAAATGTTGGGAGCTTCAGAACACAATGCAATAAAAAGACTTCGATCGATCGGAGATTTGGAAAGGATCCGATATTCCATCAACGATACCTGGAGTTCACGAAAGACTACGAGAGCATGGGACACATGGAACTACTCCCGAAGAACAGTGACGATCAAGCTGTCGCTAACTATTTACCACATCATAGGGTCACGAGGGAGGAGAGCTCGACCACGAAACTTCGAGTAGTGTTTGATGCTTCCTGTCAAACATCATCAGGAAGGTCGTTGAACGATCTGTTGAGAGTTGGACCTAATCTACAACAAGAACTTATGTACATCTTACTAAGGTTCAGGCAACACAACTACGTTATCACCGCAGACATATCTAAGATGTTCCGTCAAATCAGAATTAGGAAAAAGGATAGAGCATTACAGAGAGTTATGTGGAGGGAGAAAGAGGGAGAAGCAATCCGTAAGTATGAACTCACGACAGTGACATATGGGACAGCCTCTGCTCCCTACCTAGCACAAAGGTGTATAAAACAACTTGCCATGGATAATGCGGCACTATATCCCGAGGCATCAAACACCATCGCCAATAACTTTTATATGGACGACTGGATATCAGGAAGCGAATCTATCTCTCAATTGCTTCAACTACGAGAGGAGGTAACCCTAATTCTAGCAACAGCAGGAATGGAGCTTAGAAAATGGAACTCCAACGTATCAGATCTGTTAACAGAGGGCGAGATAGAAGTCCCACTCACCTCTAATGAGGAAGTCAAAACCCTCGGAATTCGTTGGAATTCGTGAGAGGATGTCTTCAAGTTTAAGCTGATGATGCCTGAGAAAACCAGCAGTACAAAAAGAAGTATCCTGTCAGCAAATCTACGATCCTCTGGGCCTCATACGACCAGTAGTAACAAAGGCTAAATTGTTCATGAGAAGCTTATGGAAGCTGAGTGTAAGCTGGGACGACGAAATACCGTCGGATTTGTTGTTAGAATGGAACTCATACAAGGAAAGGCTTGAAGCTATGGAAGAAGTAAGGATACCGCGCCATGTGGTGTCGCAGGAAACTAGTAAGATTGAAATGCACGGATTTTGCGACACTTCGCAATTGGCATACGGCGCTTGCATATATTTGTGCTCATCCAACGCGCAGGGAGAAAGGAGCTCTAAACTTCTCGTGTCCAAGTCACGCATAGCAACCTTGAAGGTTTTGTCAATTCCAAGACTGAAGCTGTGTAGTGCTGTGCTGCTCGCCAGGCTTGAATTTAAGGTAAGAAAGGCTATCACGCTGCCCATTCAAAGATACATCTATTGGAGCGATTCAAGCATCGTTATACACTGGATTCGGGGCGAACCAACTAAATACAAGGTCTTCGTGGCTAACCGAGTGGCAGAAATTCAAGAGCTAACCCGTCTCAGAATGAGTGGCGACACGTGCGTACCAAATTCAATCCTGCGGACCTGCTTTCGCGGGGCATGGATCCCAGAGAACTACCAAACTCAGAAATGTGGTGGTCCGGACCTCACTGGCTAGGGTTCAACCAAGACCAATGGTCAAATGAAGCGATTCTGGAAGAGCCACGGCTCTTAGAAGAAAAGGCAACTGAACGAATTTTAGTCGCTAACTACAAGGAAAAACGCGATCTGCTAAAGAAATTCTCATCATTGTCCAAATTGCAGCGAGTGATTGCTTATTGCAACAAGTTTATTCGAAACTGTCGCAAAAATGTGTCGCAGGATAAATCATTACAAGCGGATGATATAAAAGAAGCAAACCTGATCCTGATAAGAATGACCCAACGTCATGCCTTCCCCCAAGAAATTCAAGAACTCAGTAAGGAGAAGGGAGGAATACCCCGTAGCAGTCGTATCTTATCATTGAACCCCTTTTTGGACGAAAGGGGAATTTTACGAGTAGGTGGTAGGTTGAAGAATGCCGATTTAGCGTATGATCAGCGATTTCCTATTATCCTTCAAACAATCCATTTTCCACATTGCTAATTAGAGACATGCACTACAAATACTTACATGCGGGACTCAATACTTTGAGTGCTATAATTCGTGACACTTACTGGATCGTATCTGCGCGAAGGGAAATTCGCAGTGTTCTGCGTAAATTATCTTGTGTTTCCGACGAGCTCCAACGAGTCTGCAACAAATAATGGGTAATCTACCTACTAGCCGTGTAAATTCGGGGCGTCCGTTTGCGCAGGCAGGTGTCGACTATACGGGTCCCTTTTCAATTAAGATCTCACGTAATAAAACCGGAAAGGCTTATCTAGCCGTGTTCGTATGCATGGCTACTAAGGCCACGCATTTGGAAGTTGTATCCGACTTGTCAGCTTCCGCCTTTATCAATGTTTTAAAACGCTTTATAGCTCGACGTGGTAAGAGCTATCATATTTATTCCGACAACGGGAGAAATTTTGTCGGAGCAAAAAACGAATTAAACGAACTATCTAAGTTTTTTCAGGACGATCAAGTCAAGGATAAGATATTAGAGTTTACCTCAGAAAAGCTAATAAAATGGACATTTATCCCACCGTACTCGCAACACGTAGGCGGGTTGTGGGAATCCACCGTAAAGACGGCGAAATCGCATTTGAAGGTGGTGATCAGCCAAACTAGTCTAACGTTCGAGGAATTGACAACGATTTTTGCGCAGATAGAAGCCATATTGAACTCTAGACCCATTACACCTGTCTCTACGGACCCCTCTGATTTGAATGCTCTAACGCCTGGCCATTTTATAATAGGAGCGCCATTGACGGCGATACCAGAGCCCGACCTTGAAAATGGACCTTTGAACCGTTTGTCTCGTTTTCAATTATTAACTCGTTTAGTGCAAGGATTCTGCAAACGCTGGTCCAGAGAATATGTGACTCAACTTCAAGCTAGGCACAAGTGGAAGGAAGTGCGATTAAATCCCAATCTCAAGGCCGGTGCTCTCGTGCTAATCCGCGATGATAATGCGTCACCCCTGCAGTGGAAACTAGGACGAATAATCCAAATGTTCGAGGGATCGGATGGTCTAATCCGCACAGTTGAGTTTAAAACTCCATTAGGTGTAACTCAACGAGCTGTTCAGAAGATTTGCGTACTGCCCTTTGAGGACTAAACAGAACTTACCCCTATATCTCTTGTAACTATATTGTAATCGTTAGAATTAAGTCCAGTGTAAGTTGATAAAGCGAGGAAAGCGCCATTCGGTTGAAAGGCGAGCCTTTCAAGGCGGGCAAGATGTTGCGTAGCAAAGTTTGAGCATTTGAATTTTGTATTTGGCGCTATCGGGAAGTACGCGGCGCACTCACTTTGCGCAAGATGAGCAGGAGGAGGGGGAGCGAGCGGCGCTGTGTATGCGAGAGAAAATGGTGGTCTAGAGCGAGCGAGTTGTAAGAACGATTACGTTTTGATGTTTTGCCAAACAGTAGAAGCAATAAACACAAAAACCATCTTCGATCGGCAGCAGTTATTTTTCCTAACACGTTCACCAACTAACTAGCATTAACAGTTATAATACACTACGCCGAGCTGGTCCCACCAAATACAGAGCATGATTTTGGAGCCGTGAATATTCGGTTTGGCCGTCGACGTAGAAGCATGGCCGGGTACTCCCCATGATTCTCTGCGCTTGGGGTTATCGTAATGAACCCATTTTTCGTCTCCAGTAACAATGCGATGCAGAAATCCCTTCCGTCTTTGCTTTTCAAGCAACTGTTCACAAGCAAACAAACGCCGTTCAACATCTCTCGGCTTCAACTCGTACGGCACCCAATTTCCTTGCTTCTGAATCATTACCATGGCTTTAAGGCTTTTGAAATGGCTTGTTGAGTCACTCAAAATGATCGTGCCAATTCTTCTTGATTTTGCACGAGTCTTGATCAAGTAATGCCTCCAATTCTGCATCTTTAAAAATCTCTCTTTCACCGCTATGCTGGTCTTCGATGTCAAAATAACCGTTCTTGAAGCATTGAAACTACTCACGACACATTCTTTCACTAACAGCGGCCTCACTATAAGTATTTGAGAGCATTCAATGAGCCTCAGCCACAGATTTCTTCATATTGAAACAGAAAATTGAAACCTCCCGCAAATGAGGAGAATTTGGCTCGTAAACTGACAATCGAGAATAACTTTATGATGCAAACACAAATCGACTAATGTTTCTATGGGGTTATGTTGACAGATGCCCAAGTTTAATGTATGACGTCTATGATCTATTTATTTCGACCACTACTTACCGCTAAAGCCATCTCTAGGAAAACGGCGGAAGCAAAGTTGTACACCTAATATTTAAATGAATCTTATCAATTCTTTAGAGAGAATATATTTATGTACTAATAAGTCAGTTGATTAATTGTCATTATAATCGCTTTTGTGTATCACCATAACCTCTAAATTTGTACTGCTGTTAACGGAGTAAAATTTTACTCGATGGTAAAGATTCTTGACAAAATTTAAAAAAATATGATTATTGCATTACTCAAATAATTCTGTATAATAGATAGAATTTTATATGGTTTAATCTATGGAGTATTCTAACTTTGAAATGGAGTAATTTTTAAGTCGTTTGTGAGTTTATTTATAAATTAAAACAGAAATGTTTGAAAATAAGATATTGTATAATTGCAGGTACGATTGCAGTATTATGTTCTTATATTCAAGAAATATTGAAAAAAATTATAATTGTGAAGCATCTACTGTTAACGAACAAGTAATCAGGGCTTTCTATAATACCAATAATCATAATTTAGTCAGCATACTGTTCGAGAGCAATTATGCAGCAACAGTGAAGTGAGTTATAATCAGAAAAATATAATTTATATTGATGGAGAAATAAATAGAATCAACAATAGTTGCAATCCAGTTTCAATTCAAATGGAAGATATTCTTGCTGAAGTGAAAAAAAGTAAGAAACTTCTTGAATATTTTAAAAGAGAGAACACTCGTTTGGAACATAAAGTTGCACATATACAGCGAAGAATTATACGTGCACAGTCAAAAATATAGGTGAAAAAATAAATTGAATAAATTATGCTCTCAAGTAAGACTAGTGGCACATACAAAAACATAAGCACGAAGATATATTAGTAAATAAATTAATCACAATTAAATAATAAAGTAATAACATAAACAGTAATAAATAAAAAAATTGCTTACTATTTATTTCTAACATTTTATATATGCTACTGGCTTAACATTTTTATTTTTCCATCATTTGTTCTATTTTTAGATATAATTATAATGAGGGAAAAGGACACGTTAAAAGAAAGTTTTTAAATTGTAAAAAATAAATCATATATTTCAATCTTTCAACATTTGAACGTAAACAATGTTTCTATTTAAACATGTATTAAATCATAAACATGGAAACAAATAAACTTTATAGAAACGATAAAATTATAGTTTTTTTTGTTATCTATATCGAAAAGAAATATATTATTAAAATAAACTTTAGGAACTGTTTATGCCTTTGGCATTATTTATTTAATATCACAACTTTTCTTGTAACACTAATTGCTTATAATTATTTTTAAAAAGTCTAGAAAGTAAGATATCACATACAAAGTTCAAAATAAAATTTCCTTATTTCATTAAAAGAGAAGACTGAGAGAAGACTTTAATATAGTAATCGCTATCTATTGAGATATAAAGGAACTTCTCTTTATTTCTTTATTTTTTATTGATTCTCTCATGGCAATACTTTTACTGGTAAGTTTTGATTGTTTGGAAAATAAAGCAGCAATATTCTCTCTTTGTTTCAAACCATACAATCTACTTCTCATTCTGATAAAACGATATAATATTTTCCTTGTAATCTTGTGACAATCAGGAATATTATTTCCTTCCCAAATATATAGCATTCCTTCCGTGAAACATTGTACAATGTCAATATTCTTTGCATTCAGTAAAACAAATCTTATTTTTCGAAATGTAATTTCACATTTCATTATAGCTTTGAAACAATCATGAGATACTTCTACTAGAGCACCAGGAGTATAGTTTTTTAATTGCACTACTAAATTGAATGGATGAGATTTATTTTCGTGCCAGAGAACAGAATTAATACATGTTTCGCAAGATTTGTAACTTTTCTTTACACTTCTTAGTACAGCTCCGACCATATCATAAATGATAAAACCATTCTTACTCATCCAGAATCTTCATCTCTTAACCGAGGGAATGTTATACCTGCTAATTCAATAATTTCATTTTGTATCTCTGTCAGTCTTCTAATCTCGTGCTCTTTTTTTGAATATGTAAGGAAATCACCTGCCAAGTATCCTTCATCAGTTTCATAACTAGAATCCTTTATAGTACTACAAAACTGCAATTGTAATTACTTTAAAATTCTGTTTGAAGGCAATTATATTTGGAAGAGGCTGAGCCAATCTTATGCACGAGAAAAGATTTTCTACACTATCCTGGGTGAAACGACCTAACAGAAGGAAACTGTACCCTACTTTATTTAAATAATATTCTTGTAGATTCACAACAGAAGAACAAAGGATGCGAATACCTGTTTTACATGGTTTCCACGCTCCTTTTCCAACAGACATATTGTGAATTATATGTTCGAATTTTCTTATGTGATCTAGAGTTGAGAGATATACGTCCGTATTGTATTTACTCAAAGCCATTTTGTAATTTCTGCTTGTGATGATATCGAAGAAATGATTACTGAAGTCAACGAACCATGCTGTTGTGAGATAGGTTGGATCATGTTTGTACTCTGCAAGCAACTTCAAACCGGTTCTTGTTTTGTTGTTGATCACATCTTTTGCCGTCTGCACTTTCATTTTCTCAAAATGTCCAGAACATTGCACACTGGGCTTTTTTTAAACGGTAAGCCACTTTTAGTTCAAATTTAGATTCATGTTCCTGAAGATCCATAATATGTGAATATTTCACTTCATTAGTAGGGAGGCGGGCTTCCGCAACAACGTCTAAAGGTAATTTAATAATTTGAATTGTTTGTAACATAAGCTTAAAATTTTTTAAAATATGGATCGGATATGAAGTAAAATCTATCATTTGGACGACAAGGATGAACAATCGAGCTAATAACATTCTCTCCCTTTCTGCCATGGATACCCCAAGATTTCCACATAGCTTGATTGTCGGAGCCCATGTCAGTAGTAATGCAGTTCACAAAAAGGCCTATCTCTTCTGTTTTTTTAATGACATCTTCTATTATTTTACGAAGTTCCTTTCCTGTTAAGTTTTCGGTTCTATTTTTCTTTTTTACTTCGTCACTCATAGATCTTGTCAAGAATCATGTGACTGTTTGCTTTCATCTTATAGAAGAGCCAGTCAATATAATGACAATAGCTTTTGTGTTTATGCCAGAATGAGGTGAAAATGTTGATTGCCCCACCCACTTGTATAAACTGGTGTTTAATCTTTCGTCAGGTGTAATAGCCATTTCGTCCATCATAATAGAACATTGTCTCTCTCGTTCTTGTTATTCATTTTCTTTATTTCCATGGATAGTATATCAAAAACTTCCATTAAAATTCCACTGTCGAATTTCAAATGTTGGACTTGTTTTTGAAGAGTACGGACGGAAGGAAATAAGTGTGTCTCATTTACGACATGAGAATATCCTTTGGTCCAGGCTTGTTCAACACTTTGCTCGTGAAAACGCTTCCCCCTCTCCGTAGAGGCTCCGCCTGAATTCAGGTCTGTCCGAGATTCAGAGACTAAAGGAGCCAAGGAAGAACCCATTTCTCAATATACAATTATAGTAGCTGTTTTTTATTATGTTTATTATGCTCAGCAGTGACACCCAAAAATTACAATAAAATTTAATCACAAACGTTTCTACCTTTAATTTGATCAATCATGTCTGTCTATACATTTTATGAATCTTTATTCTATGAATCTCGGACAGACCTGAATTCAGGCGGAACCTTGGCGCTTATTCTTTGTTGTTTTCGCTCCGTCTTGCTCTACTGAGATGATGGAGTGGGGGAAGCGTTTTCGACTCATGAGCAATGTTGGACAGGCCTGCTTTAGTCCCACATTTTTTTTTCAGGATAAGCCCTTTTCGAATGGTATTGGTATTCCATTTCAAACACAGGACTTCCGACCTAAAGCCTCTATCTGGGGTGATCCCGATTAATCACGGCTCGATTGGACACCACCAATCACAGCGACCAGTGCTTAGGAGCTTTGTAGTCTTAAGCGCTGTGAGTGGCTCGTGTCCAATTGAACCGTGTCCAACTGGGTGCCAGCCGTTGTTTTAACTAGTTTACGCTTTAGAACCTGCATTTTTTTAATATCAACGAGATGTCTCTCTAAAAATTTAACTTTTCGTTTATAAATACGATTTTCTTCTTTTACTTCCTTCAGTTTGTTTTGGATAATAGCAAGGTATTTCTTTGCATTTTTCAAAGGTTCAACTGTTGAGACCGGTGATGGAACAGATATTGCTGAAATGGATGGTAGTGAAGATGTCTCAGACACTGTTAAGACCGGTGATGGAACCGATTCTGTTCAGACCGGTGATGGAACTGATTCTGATGAGACCGCTGATGATTATAATGAGGCAGATGAAGTACCACATTCCTGCAGACGGAGTTCATGTTGGCTGCAAAATTAGATTTAATAAAATATTTATTAAATTATTAATTAATTATATTATCATTTGGTTAGATAGCATGAAAAAGTATGTGCGCGGTGTGAATAATTATTATCAATTAATTATAGTAAGTTAATTACAGAATTGTCGTTGAATTTTCTTTTAGATTATCAGGTCTGTTGCTTGAATTAGTCAAATCACTAAAAGGTTGTCAACTGATTGCATAGGAATGCTCAGTTAGGCTATGATTCTTTCTTGTTACAAATTTAGTAGGCACAGCATGTGATTTTAATTTTTTTTCCCATCAACTCTCATTTCTTCAAATTGATCTTGTTCAAAATGAAATTATAAATAAAAGAAATAAACTATAAATAAACAATTGTTTATGCATATATATATGTAATTATACATACAATATTGTAAAACAAATATTAGGAAAAATTTAAAGTTTACACTTACTTCACAAAGAACTCCAGTCTTGCCAGGAGACCAATTTGGACCTCGATTCACTTTTTCTTTCCTTATTTTACGATACTTAGTATCTTTGGGAAAATATGGCATATAAATTTTCTGTCCTGTACGTACCGGACAGTCCGGGACTGAGCATTTTCGTACCATATCGCTAATTAAAGAGAAAATAATATAATCATAAAAATATCATTATATGCAATCATATCACAAAATCTTATCATATTATTCATGTTCATATTGTAAGAAAGTTCCAGAATCATATAGAACATTCTAGAGCTTTCGACTTATTTCTTCTCCCCGCGAACTGCTGACATCTATCACAGCACTCTGTTGCTCCAGAGCCAATCGGAGCACGCGACGTCACCGCGCACGCCGCATGCGTAAGCAGTGATGCCAATTTAGCGGTTTTCCAGCTAGATCTAGCGTTTTTAAAGGGTCGTCTAGGTACAAAATTTAAGAAATGCGGCTAGCGGTAATTCTGACGGGATTTAATTTTCCTTTTAGCGTTTTTTGACGATTTTTTAAAGCTCAGATGGATACTTATGCCTGATTTATGCTTCGGTCTTAACCCTAAAATTAGTCTTAATCTTAAGATTCAACCAATAGGATTGCCAGTCTTAATTGGACCAATTAAAATACAGAAAATGTTAAATAATAGTAATTGTTTATAGATATGGTCTAAAAAGACATGATAAATGTTGTTATAACTATGAGATACCAATTTCGTACATAAAATTAATTGGGACTAGTACAGCATATAATGACAAGGATGATAACGTCATTGAGGACACTGATTTTGAAGACGATGAATGGATCGATATTGAATGAGATATAGTGCGACCTTTTAGACCAGAATCAGACTATACATTGAAGATTGAAATTAAAAATTAAAAATTGAAATTTCACCAATGAGAACGAAAAAATTCTGGCTCTTGTTCTGATTGGTCAAACCTCAATTTTTCATTCTTCAATGCGTAGTCTGATTCCGGCCTTACATGTTTTACATTAATTTTTAGTATAAAATACAGTTTAATATATATGTAAGAATAGATTAAATATTTACGTTTTTGTTAAATATATTAAACATTTACGTTTTAGTTCAATCGTTTAAAACTGGTTTCCACATGGAACCGTGGTTAGAGTCTACTATACAAAGCTGCGTAATCATTGCTACCTGTAGCGATAGCGAGTACTCATTTAACGTGACGATTATTGTAGCCTTTTTTCGCAAAATAAATTGTGATACTACGTAAATTTTAACCAACAAATTCATTTACATAATGAAATTTCTTTTACAATTATACTATTAAAAAATCAATAATTATATATATATATATATATATATGTATGTATCATTCTTTTCTAGCACTCATCTTATATAAATGCGTGCGTAAAAGTGATTATAAACATATATAAATATCTGACGGTTTTTGGCGGTTTTTCAAGTAGAATCTAGCAGATAATGTTTTTCAATAGTTGGCATCACTGTACGTAAGAGATCTCAGCGGAGAATAAAGGGTCTCGGAGTACGGCCAAGTACGGCTCACGGGGCGAGATGTTCATTGGATTTCGGAATAGATTTATCTAGTATTCGATAGTCGTATATCACCAAAAGAATTCCGTCATTGTTACGCGAAAGTGCATTTAATTTTGTATCAATGTAGTTGTGTGTGTTAATAAAGACAGTGATCGGGTTAATTATACCGTGACTGTTTGTTACGCATCCTTCTAGATACTCCTTTATTACTCCTATTAAGGATTTTCCTGACAAATATATGTATATATCTAGTTATATCACGGTAATCTCCTAAAGAGAGATATATCCTGGTATAACAGTGTAAATTATCGAGTATAATCATATACTCTCAGAAGTGGATTAGATTTAATTATAAATCTTACATTATCATAGTGGGAAAGATCTTTTTCCTACAGAAGTCTTATAATATCATATCATTATATCACAAATATATCATTATATGCAATTAAAATGTTTAAACTTACGCATAAAAAATGTTAACATATAACTTTAACCTGCTTACTTCTTCGCGTGAGAATGGCCCAGACTATAACCTCAAAAAAAGGCCCATCTACAATACACGTAGTAAGCTTGGTTTAAAGCCCATTCTACAATTGCGTAAATGTAGTTGTAAATAGTTGTAGTTGTAAGAATTGATCAATCACTGTCGAATACAAGAAGAGTATTCAACTGTGATTGGTCAATTCTTACAACTACAATCACTTACAACTACGCTTACGTAATTGTAGAATAGGCTTAAGAAGTAAGAGTAGGTTTAAGGAGCAAAGAATAAGGAGCTTACGCTCGTCTACAATACAGAGGAGTAGAAATCGGGGTAGAGATGGCATTGTCATCGTTCAATAAGTTATTTCAATACTACCATGTACATTATCACAAAGTAATTCTAATAACAGCTCAGATGTATTGAATATGTTTGAATTCTTTACAGGTAAACAATAATGAAATGGAATTGTTATTAATTATACTGCAAGTGATAGTTATTGTGCATACTCATGTTCTATATTTATTCTGGTTTAGAATATTCAAGTAAGAATGAAGAGGTGTTCTCTAAAGTAAATTCTAAGGACTCATCAAGTACACTTGCTCCAAGCAATTTATCGATTTTGTCAGACAATGCTTCTGCAAGTGTATTGAAAGCTGCAGCCTCTATAATTGTTCCCAAAAAACAAACATCACCACCAGATATTAAGAAGAGAAAACGTGATCCTTTCAAAAAGTTCTTGCTGTAGTTCTTGCTAAATAGGTTATTATTTGCCATGAGAGAATGGATCATCAATTAATTGCGACAAGTTTGTTCCTCATTGCGTGTCATCAGCATTTGACATTACAATGGAAACAACGAAAACAAAGAGGACGTGGCCATGGAAGAAGAAGATGGTGGGTCCGTCCTGTAAATCGAAATAAAGATGAACAAGGTTTCCTTTTAAATCTTATTAGAAAAATGGGGACCCAAGATCACGAGGAATTCTATCGTACTTTTCGAATGTGGCCCGAGCAGTTTAATTGGCTACTTGATCAAGTGCAAGATAAATTGCAGAAACAAAGCCGGAGGACTCCGTTAGATCCTAAGCTACGCTTACAAGTGACCCTTTTGTGAGCATTCAGGAAATTATTTTATATTGAAATTCGGTATTTGATACAATTCTACTATTTTTAGATATCTGGCACAAGGAGATTCTATCTTGAGCAAACACAATGAGTTCCGCATAGGAAGATCAACATAAAATCATTTCTGAGACTTGTAGCGATTTGGGAAGCATTGCAAACACATTTTTCTCCCAATGGATCATAATTCATGGAATGAAGTATCGAATAGATTTATGGAGAAATGGCAGTTTCCTAATTGTCTTGGTGCCATTGATGGGAAACATATCCGCATTAAAGCTCCTCCCATGTCAGGGTCCAAGTTTTTTAATTATAAGAAATTCTTCAGCATTGTGTTGATGGCTGCTTGCGATGCAGAGTATAAGTTTACATGGGTGGATATTGGACAATATGGTATGTATACAATATATAATAGTGCATCTTATTATCTTGATTATCTAAATAAAATGCAGCGTATTGTAAGTAACCCATATCATATTTTTATTTGTAGGATCAGTGAGTGATGGTGGTGTTTGGAACAATACGGATTTTGTGCAGGATTTAGAAGCAGGAGAAGTTAATTTACCACCACCTTCTTCACTCCCTGGTATAGATGTTCCATTTCCCTACGTCTTTGTTGCTGATGAAGCATTTCCATTGAGGAAGTACTTGATGAGACCGTTTCCTAAGAAAAATGAAAGAATGTCTGATGAGGAACGCATTTTCAACTATCGGTTGTCAAGAGCCAGGAGAACAATTGAGAACGCGTTTGCAATTCTGACAATAAAATGGGAAATTCTACTTTCATGTCTAAGCTGTTCCCCAGAACATGCTGAACAGATTGTAAAAGCCATAATATGTCTACATAATTTTTTGATTACATGTAGTCGTTCTGAATATTGCCCTCAGTTTAGGAATACTGAGCACAATGATGAAATTGAAACACGGATTAGTCAATCATTGTTTTACAACTTAGGTAGAGTAGGTGCAAATAGAAGTAGTCGCGTTGCAAACGGAATGAGAAATTACTTAAAGCAATATTTTGTTTCTGAAATTGGTCAAGAGCAAGCACCTTGGCAAAATGAAAGGGCACTTTATGGTCACTTTATAAATGTGCCAGTTTAATTAAAAACAAATGAACAAGCTAATATATTTAAATTCGACGTTATTTATGCAGATATTAGACGTTAATTAGCAGATGTATATAGTTATACTATCGAAAGATTAGTTATTAAAAACTTATTATTTGGCTAAGGACATATAAAAAGACCACAGTACAAAGTTGTAGTTATATCCTATTGCCAGACATTGTATATTATAAGTAGCATTATTAAACTATTGCAAAATTTACTTTTTGTACGTAAAAGAGAAAATATTACTTTAACATATTCTGAAAAGATTTAAAAAGAAAATTGTATTAATTGATAAATTCTTTAACTATGTATGAGAGAGAGAAGTTGTATTATTATTTGTTTAATTTAATGAATACTTAGAGTTTTACAATTAATCCGCAAATGATATCCAATTTAATTTATACATATAACAGAATTATAATATTTTGTCTACAATATATATTGTGATATGATAATGAAAGATTCAACAACAGAATAACATGTACCAAAAGAAGCATTCACGTTAATGTAGAATAATTTAATAATTATTAGTATAATTATATTACAGTAAACACACTTTTTTGCCCTTTTTAAATTTTCTAATTTATACAATCCTTGAAAATGGCTTAAAATTGTTTCTAATAAAATAATACGGTTTGCAATGTATATATTGCAAATTGTCCAGTAATATTTATTAATATTTTTACTTCAAATTGTCACTTGTCACTTTATAAATGTATTCGATTGAAGATCAAAAGCGAAGGCGATATATAAAAACAGAAAGCTAAGAAAGTGTAATTAAATATATACCTACGGTAGCCATAAATTTGATATGCAATGTATATTTTCCATACACATACATATATAAAGTTAATATGACTAGGTAATATATTTCAGATCTTCGTGCTGTATTATTTTACTATTAATAAAATTACATAAACACTGTTTACTTGATTTTTCATTAGCATGGAATAAGGAATTTAATTAAAAATGAATATCTCTCAAGATTTATCTTAATTAATCTTTTTAATTAATATTCTTTAATATTTCTGCTTCAAATGTTTTCTTAACTAAAGTATCCATACATTTATTACAAGCATTATTAAATGCTTTACATATAAAACTTAAAAAAGTAAGAATTGTACATAGCGCAAATATTTGAAATATGGTGTGACCACAAAGTAGGTTTATAAGTTTATTTTTCATACATTATTAAATAAACATTCCGCATATAAAGAAAAATAGAAAACTTACTCTTAAATATATGTTTTATCACAGAGAAAGATTTATATATTAAATACTCTGCGTATAAAAATAATAAAAAAATAAAATCTTATTAAACATGTTAAACACATGTTTTATCACAAAGAAAGATTCATATGTTAAATGCTCTGCGTATAAAAATAACAAAAAATAAAATCTTATTAAACATGTTTTATCACAGAGAAAGATTTTTATATTAAATGCTTTCCGTACAAAAATTTAAAAAATTAAAAACTTACTAAACATTTTAAACGTATTTTATCACTGAGAAATATTAACTATTCAATATTTTCAATAACAAATGTTACGATTTTTTCTTTGCAAAATCATTAATGCTGGAGAGAATATGTATAAGACAATCCATCTGGTATTCCACAGGAACTTTGTTCAATCCCAAGGCTATGGTTCCCATCATGGTTTGTACTTCAGAAGTCACTTCAGATACAGCCAGCTGCTTTGATGTTGAATTCTTTAGCACAGTCTCCAATGTATTGGCCAGCGAAGAAATATTCTTGGAAGATTGTAGCATTATTGCATCTTCTTCATCAGTTAAGTCACGTTTTCTCTTCTTAATATCTGATGATGTTTGTTTCTTGGGAACAATTTTAGAGGCTGCAGCTTTCAATACACTTGCAGAACATTGTCTGACAAAATCGATAAATTGCTTGAAGCAAGTGTACTTGATGAGTCCTTAGAATTCACTTTAGAGAACATCTCTTCATCCTTACTTGAAGATTCTAAACCAGAATAAATATAGAACATGAGTATGCACAATAACTTGCAGTATACTTAATAACAATTCCATTTCATTATTGTTTACCTGTAAAGAATTCAAACATATTCAATACATCTGAGCTGTTATCAGAATTACTTTGTGATGATGTACATGGTGGTGTTGAAATAAGTCGCTGTGAGGCTAATGAATTTAATAAATTCGAAGCCTTGTTATGTATAGGTTTAGAATGCCGGTAGTTTGATGTTGTTCTACATAAATATGATAATCTTAAACATAAACTCTAACATAATCTGTATATAATATACAACCATTGCATGATTACTCACTGTCTAGGTTGAATGTGGTCAACAAGAAACATTAAATCATTATATAATATCCAATTTGACTTATATGCAGTATCATTTCCACCTGCACCAGATCATGCTTGCGACTGCAGAATCTTTCAGTTTTCTTTTCCAAATTTCTGTCGCAAACGGTAAAATTCCTTTTCTGTAGCGAGTCCTGTAAACACAGTATATTACAAGGACAGAAATACATACAAGAACTCTAATCTTGTTTTTCATTGTTATCTACATCGTACTTACCAGTCATTGGTGGTACTAACAAGGCTCCAATATGAGTCCATATTAGATACTTATCACTTTTTTTATTGTAACCTTTGTTTTTTTTCATACAATATAGGATTCTCTCTTACTAGATCTATCCATGATAAAAAGACAAGGGTATGCTCATGCGCATGACCAATCAGATTTTTGTCCTTGCTTACGTCACAACGAGTGGCTTACGCCACTGTTCAGCTATTTCAGATTGTTTTGGAAAGGTAAAATATTTAATTTTACTTCCCTCAGTTTTTTTTGTTTTTTTCATATGATTGCCGCATCCTTTCACTATGCAGGTCATCGTGAAAATATTTTTAACATTAACTTCTACCGATGACAACGTGCACTACGCCATGGACGCCATGATAAATTACGACCGATAACCACCGATTGCACCCGAATCAGAACCGACCAATCAACGCGTACCCGAATATGACGTAGGCAAGGACATGCGCAAGCTGAACGAGTTTTAGACAATTGATGAGCATACCCTTGTATTTTTATCATGGATCTATCAATGTTCTCCATGTGACGATTTGCGCTTCTGATGCTTCAGATTCTGTGACTTCCAAATCCTCTTCCAAATTCATTTCAAAGTCTTCCATATTCATATTAATGACAAGAGAAACAAGCAAGAGATTGTTCAATTTTTAGAAAGAAATTATGTGATAGAATTGTTTCTTTTATTAAAAATTGTATTTGTAGGTAGGGTAGGTTAGTTCTAGGTTAGCACCGGCCGACAACTACGTACATATATGGAATTATTCGAAATAGATTCGATTTCAATCGAATTATTTGACTATTTCCGAGATTTCTGTTGTACTTTCTTAGAAAAATTTCTACGGAATATTTTCGATCGAAATCTATTCCGAATTAATTCCATAAAGGCCCGTCTACAATACACGGAATAAGAAGTAAGAGTAAGAAATTGACCAGTCACAGTCGAATGTGAGAAGAATAATCGACTGTGATTGGTCAAT